CAACCCTGTGAGACGCGTACTGCGACAAAAAACAGTTGGTAAAATAAAATCAAGGAAAAACAGGATTCCTGTGAGAAATCTCCCATGAACAATGCAGTTTTCACGAATTCCTCTACAATAGATATCAGTGGAACCACGACGCTTCCAAAAGCAAGGAAAAAACAGAAACCTAGCACAATTGCCAAAGGGGAATTGGGATTCGGTCTTGGCAGTTTTCGTCTGATGGTAACCGTGAACCCTTTGACCATGTTTCCTCGATTACTGCCCTTCTCTCACGGTTACCGCTATTCTCATAACCACTACTAACCAAATCGAATCATATTTCGTCGAATTAAAAGTTCATAATCGAAATCCCAGCAACTTCACTCTATAACGCGAGTCGTGAGGTAAGGCAGGTAGGTTTGAGATGTACGGTAGACGCAAAACCGTCTTCATTTGTAGAGGTTTGCCATTAATCAACTCCACAGCACTTTATAAAGCGACTTTATAAGGCTTCATAGGAGAGAGGAGCCAGTGAAGACATTGTTGACTGCTTACCTTTTGCATTCTCTTTGATAAAATTTACGTGAGTTCGATACTCAAAGCGAACCTCTTTCGCAACTTTTACGGTGATCCTCCCAGATGCAGTCTTTGAGATAATTATTTCCTTTAATTATCTTTAGTAATCATCTAATTGAAATGGACGGTTATTTAGCAAGTTGACGGCTCGGTAATAGTTGGTCAATCTCTCCTTTCGTTTTGTAGCCAGTCGCTCTTTATCGCCTCTCTATGCATATGAGACAGTGAATACACTCCGAATCTCTCTACTGTTGATGCTAAATGAAAAATTTATAAGGAAAGTCAGATTGTAGCGCATTTAGGGATGAACTTTCTTCCTCAAAACTTCAGGGCACCATTTGTGTTACTCCTCATCCTTTTCCAGGTATGATCATTCTGAATGTTAACTGCAAATGCGAATTGAAAAATGCCGTAAAAATTTCGCTATGGGGTAACGGAGCTCCTCGCAGCATATGGAAGCACTCCACTTGAAAAGAATTCCTCGCTACGATATGGCTATCAAAGGCAAAGGCTCGGATAAGAACAATTCAATACAATTATTGGATTCCCTGAAAGCTCATTTCTTCGGTTCCAGTAGAACAATCTGAATAAGCAAAGACCCCAAAAGATTTTTGCCTTTTCGACGAGGATGGTTTTTCATTTTTCAATTCCTCGAGAATTACACTTCTCTTTCAAAATACTGCTATGCTTGGAAAATTTGACCGTTTACAGGTGGTTGCAAAGAGTAAGACGTCACATTTGTAAGTGTGACTTTGAAGATGTAGGGAAAGAAGAGAAATCTATTTAATGGGGATCAGAGTAGAGCATCATGATCACTTAGGACAAGAGACGTTCGAGGTTTAGACGTGATGTTTTATTAACAACCGTTATATCGCAGCAGTACGCGATGCAAAGTCTAACAAGGATGGCGATTTGTGGGCGAAACTTCGGCCTTGGATGGGACTCGAACCCGTACTTGTGCTAAGCTATGGCATATGGGCCATTAAGAAGGCGAGGGCAAGAGCGGTCTCTGTAGTGTGAGGCTTCTTTCATGATCCGCCGGCCAGCCGGCCGGCGTGCCACGAGGCAGGGCTAGGAGGAAGGAGGGCGGCAGACGGTCGGTCAGCCCCTCGAAGGGCTGCAAACAAGGAGAGACAAGATTAAAAAACCATTTGTACGAGCCCCTGGTTGTTTGGTTTTTGTTCTCTCCCTTATTTGTTTTCAACCCTTCGACCGACCGTCTGCCGCCCTCCTCCCCCTAGCACTGCCTCGTGGCACTCCGGCCGACCGGCAGACTATGAAAGCAGCCTAAAGGATGATAGCACGATCCCCGGAAAGGACAAGTACGGGTTAGAGTCCCGTCCAAGGCTGAAGTTTTGTCTATAATTCGCTAACCTAGTGAGTAAATCAAGCACTTTTCAAGTCATGTCCTGATTTGGCGGCAAAACTGACGCGGCATTCTATGGTATCTTCCAGCTCTAATTCACCCATAACCAATACTTGATCGCTGTCAATCAACATATAGACTTGATACGTTTTTGAAAAGATAATATCAATTTCGAGTTTTTTTTTGAGCTTTTTTCTCGCTTTTACTATCAACACAAGACAAACAGGTGACGAGTAATTTGTGCGCCTGCGGTGATTTTTAGGACTGATTTTGCTTGCTCGATTCATAGAAGCGGTCTCAGAAAAGTCAACGATCTGGTGAAATTTATTTGCAGTTCTGACTGGGGCTCAATCAAATTTTCTTGATCTCATGAGAGGCCTTTCTGGAAAACAGAGAGAGGTCAAAGTAGATTCTTGTGCTAAGGGCAAAAGTACTACTGTGTGAATAGCAAACAATTATTTTTTTCCAGGTAGGCGTAACTACTTTTTTAGAGACTGTGACTGCGAGTGAGAAGCATTATGAAAAGCACGACCAATTCTCACACATAAAGCCGATAGTACACTGCAATATATATGTAGAACTTTCTCATGTGTGAGCTCTTCTCATGAGAGCACTACCAAAGAGCAGCGAAGTCCGTGCTCTCGAAATGAGAAGGCCGACCTCATTTTTTTTTGCCGCCCTCCCTTAAGAATTCTTTCCTGTAAACACTGATTCCTGAGATTCGTCAAAACTATCCCGGTCTCATCTAATAAATTGAAACACGACAACATTCAAACAAAAATAGTACTGCCGAATCGATCGTACGGGGCCGTAAAAACTTAATTTTCATTTCGACTTCAATCAGTCCTGTCTCGGAATCTGTTCTGCTTCTGTTTTGATTTCCGATTTTGATTTTGATTAAGATAGGGCACAATTCCCTGGCATGACTCTCCCCCCACCCACTTATGATCGAGAGCGTGAGCACACCAAACTTCAGCCGATGACCACTTCTAACAAAAAGCTGTGAGGCTCTTCTCAAACTGATTATATTTCAGGTAGACCAAATGCTCTTCTGCACATTCACACGCTTTCATCCTGCTCAGGAAGGCTATTATAGCAGTAATAGCCAAGAACTTTATCCGCAAAAGACTCCTAACAGTACTGGCAGTTGTATGAAGATGTGCTTAGAAATCCCAGAGTGCGTGGCCGTCTCTACCCATAATACATCAGGGAACGTGAGTTCCTGTATTAGTGAATAAGAAAGGCTGTGTTGCATCATTTCAGAGAATAGAGAACTCGTTTATGGGGAGTGTTCATTGGTGACAGTCGACATCAAATCTAGAAAATAATATAAAATAATTGACGTTTGATTGCAACAATCCTAGACCCTCTTTTCGTAAAAAGGCGAATTTCACTTATAAACTCCTTGCACCAGACTCCGGTGTTGAAGGTGACGGTGGAAAAGGGATAGCTCACGATGAANAGAGCTCGTTTATGGGGAGTGTTCATTGATGTGCCCTTAGTCGACATCAAATCTAGAAAATAATATAAAATAATTGACGTTTAATTGCAATAATCCTAGACCCTCTTTCGTAAAAAGGCGAGTTTCACTTATAAACTCCTTGCACCAGACTCCGGTGTTGAAGGTGACGGTGGAAAAGGGATAGCTCACGATGAACGTTGGTTGTCGCTGTTTTGAGAACAAATGCGTTGGTGTTAACATAACCACATGTATTTCCCCACTCCCGGTTCTCCTCTGTATCATACGCTAGACATCTTCACATGGGTTTTCTCAAGAATTACCAGCTCCGCTGGTGGACCAGAGGTTCACTGTATGACGAGTAGATATAAACTCGATATCGACTTGATTTTCAATATGATGTCATTGTAGCAGCTGCTAACGCGGATAGCCATTTTCCTGTAATTCAGCCTATATTGTCCCGACTGAATATGTGTTCAGCTACCATTATGTGTCTATATTGTCCATGAGCTTACGATTAGAGCTCATCATTGGTTAATGCGTCGATAAGCAACAATAGTGTTTATTATAATAGTGTAAACTCTCGACTTTTAAATTCATGCTAAGTCAAATGTTCTGTTTTTAGTTTCTTTGTTATTTCTGGGGAGCAGCCCAACCAGTCTATTACACATGGGAACCTGGTGAACACATATACAGACTGGACAGAAGCACGACCAACGATGGCTGTCCTCTAGCAGAGAGCTTGTTTCCAGCATCTTGAAGATCACAGAACGATGAAATGAAGAAAAGCGATTCAGTGGTATATTGTTCGATATTAGAAAAACGCTTCGCTTTAAATGCAGTGTCGCTGAATGAAGTTGCGTTTGCTTCTCTACGCCTTCGAACAGTATCTTCGACATTGCAAAACACTAGGAACCTGTATGACCACATTTCAGCAGTAGTCGTGTTGAAAGAAAGGGATATCACATGATTCCTGAAAACCTGTGCACAAGAGCCCATACATTCTTCATGAAGTACTCTCCGAGTACTCAGAGTTCAATTCGAAAAAAACATTCCATCTGCATTACTACATAAATAAAAGTGAACAGCTTTTGTATTAAATATACTGTGTGATCATCATGCGTCATGTGATATATGTATATCGGCTATACATATCACATGACAAAAGAACATGAATAATGTTCCCTATTCAAATGGTTGATCAGCCCCAAGAAAAGGCAGAGATCTCTGACATTCGAACATAATATTCAATGCATTCCGAAATACAATCGCATCAGTCCTCGTAGCATGCCTACCTTCGAACTGTCTCACTTCCCTCCATTCACGATTTTGCTGACCTACCTCAACACCATTTAATTTACTGAATAGGGCTGCCCCTCATGACGCTTGCCTACGGAGCAACCCTCGCTGCATCGTGCATCGTTGCCTTACACTGTCCAGCGTGCTGCTCCTTTAGGCGTCCTCCAGGACCGTCGATCAAGGAAACACCACCGAGTGCTCTCCACGTCATCCACGCCGCGTTTACTCGGTCTTCTACTGCCTCTTTCACGCTACTATTAACGCCTTGGTCCCTGCCCACGTAAGTACTAACCACCTCCGACGGCCTCACCAAAATCGTCAGAAGTTGGCTCCTTGGGTTCCTTCGAGGAGAGGAAATTGGTGTTGATCACCCAGAGCTTGTTCTTTGTCAGTACGCCACTTTCCTTGCCTTTTCTGGAGTTTTTCTCCACTAACCAATGTTCGCTGTAAAAGATGGTCTCCGATCGAGCTGAAATTAGCCCCGACTCCTATAAACGCACAATTTTGACCAGATGATTGAAAATGCTAGCTGTCAAGCTTGAGATCTTCCATTCTTTTTAGGAAATACATTTGTCGCTGTCTCACTGCATCTCACCTTTCAGCTAACCATCACTGACCACAGTTCAAACACACCAATATCCACCTTTTACGTTGAATATATTACCGTAATCATACCTTACGGAATCAATCAGTTCGCAGTGATTACTCGATCAGCTATCCTCCTGAAAATTTCAAAACCTTTTGCTGTTCGGACTTCTTAAGAAAAACGCGATTTAGGCCTCCCAATACAATGTCCAAGCACTGCATACGGAATCGCAGCTGGATCACAATGCTTTCAGAACAATGGCAATGCGTAGTTTAGAGTGGGAACTGGAACTTCAAGGCATGATTGGGTTCTTTCTTTTCCGATTGGACGTAGTGCCGTCACAAATGGCGCATACCATCACTAGCATGAACTGGGAACTGCATCCTGGATCGATGTTCACCTGACCAACTAGTCCTTCCATTCTTCCGTGATCGGCTAATTATTATCAGGCCTGGGATAAAATCCCTGGCTAGTAGAACGAACGGCCACCGCCTGTTATGAGTGGCTGTTGGAGGCACCCCTAAAAGCAGGATTGGATAGAACTATAAGAATTTATCTTATCATTTCCTGATCGTTTTTCAAGGATTAGATCGACAAAAAATTAGATTCATTATCCCCGTAGTCCATGCCATTTATCCACCAAAGGTCCGTTCGATCAAAATCCAAAACGACCAATTAAGTATAATAGATGTAGTGCCTAACATAAGTGAGCTTTTCCTTACAAACGTCATTTCAAGAAGCTCGTACATCCACTACAGCGACCACCAACTGCCTGAGGGACTGAGAAATACAAAGAAAGGAAAATTAAAAACAAGTTCTCTAAACCATTGCGCAAGAAGTCTTCATTACAACAAATCCAACAAATAGAAAGTATAACGAATTAATTCTCAACAATGGTATGAACTATATTGAAAGAAGTAGATGTTAGTAATAAACAAAATACCCAAGCGTTTACTACGCTATGGCTGGATTCTCTATGATGTATGAGCATTTGTTTATAGCTCATAGAATGCAAAAACGGTTNTAAGTATAATAGATGTAGTGCCTAACATAAGTGAGCTTTTCCTTACAAACGTCATTTCAAGAAGCTCGTACATCCACTACAGCGACCACCAACTGCATGAGGGACTGAGAAATTACAAAGAAAGGAAAATTAAAAACAAGTTCTCTAAACCATTGTGCAAGAAGTCTTCATTACAACAAATCCAACAAACAGAAAATATAACGAATAAATTCTCAACAATGGTATGAACTATGTTGAAAGAAGTAGATATTAGTAATAAACAAAATACCCAAGCGTTTACTACGCTATGGCTGGATTCTCTATGATGTATGAGCATTTGTTTATAGCTCATAGAATGCAAAGACGGTTGCCGAAAAAGCTTAATCAATCAGTTCATCATTTGAACAATACGACCGCTCCCCTACAACGTCAATATGTGTAAAATTTTCCAGCGCTCTAGTGAATGACGCCGTTCCATAAATGCGCACGAAAAAGTGCTTCACTTTCATTGTACAACAAGAACAAAGTATTCGAACAACTCATGTTCTCCTCCAACTTAAACGGAAATTGCCCGAATCACCTTGAAAATTAGATCTTGTAAGGTTCCCATGCGCCATTCATCTTTCACCCCGATCAATAGGTGAGTGAGCTGTGTTGCATTATTTTATCGGTCTTTTCGTATTTTTACGACTTGATTATAGCAAGCTCTTCAAAGAAACCGCCTATCAGGAAGTTACCCTTATTAAATTTTCTCTATCGCCTACAGCATAGTGTGAGGGGTGTTTATAAATACAATTCAACCGCCAACCCTCCACGAGCAACGACTAACTCCTTTTGTTTACACACAATACTTTTCCAAAATCTTTTTAGCCTCCTCGATTTGCTCAAGCACACGCCTTCTTGGAGCGTCACCAGTGATATCCTTCAGATTCCGGATATTTTCGAATGTTAATAAAATCGTATATAAATTAACACATTCAATTATAGCTTCCCTCGGTGAGCCGCATCACCCCCCTGTGATACTCAGGTATGTTCAGGAATACACTGTCTCCACAAGTTGCTATTAATGGCCTACGTGGTGAATATTTGATGACTAGTATCCGCTGTTCGCCATGCACATCATTCACTAAAATATGAAATTATTGTGGACTAAGAAGAGACGCAATAAAAAGACGACTCAACGACATGCATTTTGGGAGGTCTTTGTGTTCATCCTCACTGCTGAATATTTTCAACGTAGAAGCACAAGAGGCTGCGAAACTGTCATCGGAAGGACTCATAGCTTTGCGAACACGGTCCACACAAGCTCCCTTTAGCGGAGACCGTTCTCCTCTAAAAACTTTACTTTCCAGATTTTTTTTGTGTTGATATTGAACCAAATGTAGGCTTTCCGATATGAATGCTTTATCTACATTTCGAGCTTTATCTACATTTCAAGCTAGGCGGTGATCTCTGTTGAAATTTTCTTGACTATGCATATTTACGGAAAGGTTTGACTGATGACTAATGATTACCAGAGAGCGTGTGTCCAGCATTATAAAGATCGCTGAGAGATGAGCAATAGAAAACTTATTGAGAGGCATCCTCATACAAAACTTAAGAGTTGCCTTGCTTTTGTCGTTGATTGGAGAGTGAGTTCGTATCTGTCCACTCCTTCTTACACACCTTCTTACATTGCACAAAAAATAAATCACGAATGTAATGCGTAAGCGTGGTGAACTAAAGGAATGGCTCATGAGTCCCGAAATTTCATGTTCCCACATACCAAACAAAAATGCTCTCCGAGAGTCCGGTAAAACAGTTGAGCAGACATACTCAGCACTACTACATAAAAACAAATCAATGTATCTGTATGTCGAATACCAGCGAATTTGAACTATGGCTCCTTTCGCGTCACGCAACAACGAACAACTTCTATAGAAAGGATGACCAATACATTCTTGTTCAATCCTGAGTGGTGGTCGCACTTGAAAGAACCATAACCGCACAAGCAACTCTGCGTATTCCAGGATGCAGAACGTGGAGGAAATTTCAAGCGATGGAGTTTCACCAGTTCCATGACAAGCTTCAAATAGTTTCGATGTTTGAAAGGATCATTTTGAATTACATTACAGCTGGGGTTTTCCAATCTTCTCGGTGTTTCCACTATTTTGTCCGGCGTAGCACAGCAGGAGAGGGATCTCTCTTTTGCTGACAAAACCCTGGAGCGGTTACTTATGTGAAATCAGATAAGCTGCTCGAAAAAAACACCGTATTGTTACAGAAGGTGAGGGAGAAGCACCGCCTAGCTACGGAGCGTGAAGGAGTTCCCTTACACTGATATTTTTTGAGCTTCGAGAGAAGGATCAAAGATTCTCACATCCAGATGTATCCAGAAGCACAGTGATTTTAGTGTAATCTAGTCTTAATGGGATACTCACGTTCTTACCTACTATAGATTGGTGGAGGAGCGTTGTTCCATTTAATGCCAAAACGCTGGCGTGTATACTCATGGGGAATGAATCAGGTCTTCCAGGATGTCCATGGAGCACATGTAGCCCATAATTCACTTGTTGGGAAATTGACCCTAAACTGCAGATGCACTAGTTGGTGCGTATTCATCTCGCAGTATAATAGCAGAGGTGAACTTAATTCTGTTACTTTCGTATAGTACATATTGGCTTGCATAAGCTTTCATAACTGTTGTTGACACTTTGTAATCCGTACCACTTGCCACTATGCCGTCACACTGGTATTGAACTAATCTATTAACACTCCACAAGTGGTGCGATAAATCCCGCGTTTTTTGTCACCTTGAATTTCCAGCAATCCCTCATCAGCTCTTCTAGTCCAAACCGCTCGTCCTTATCTCATTTAAACCCCTCCTAAACTTTGACTATCTAGACCCCAAACAACTAGCTCCGGAATTTCAGTCGAACATGTAACATGTCACACTTGAGTAAACAAACAAACGAACAAACGAAACAATTTTATCCCTGCCCTTTCTACGTTGAGTCAACCATACAGATCCTTGTTTACGCTGCTGTCAAAAATGCTGTTTCACTGCCGAAGTAGTTCGACTGGTACGCCGCGGACTGCGGAGCTCTCTTCCTGATACCTGAAAAAGAAATTTGAATTAAGGGCACATAATTAAACTTCGGGCGAAATTTCATTTGCAGGTTGAGTTTTGTAGGGATTCCTTCCTTTTAGGGCTCGCTGACGCTGTGAATTGTCTTGGAGGACACAGGACAGTAAAACCGCGATGTTGATAACTTTGCATGGATTTATAAAATCGACTCCAAACGTTGCAATAAAGGCACCACTGGTGTAATTAATTTGCTTTAAGCTGGTTATGGTGTGTTCCAACCGAGCGTGCCACTCACATATCACACATCTATTACCAGTCTACATGCTAATGCATGCGTCAGTGTCCGTCCGTTTTGTAGTCCTCTTACTAACTTTTGCCCATTTTTCCGGTGCATAGGATTTTTGGAGCAAAATTACCTATGCTATCTCTTCAGCTCATTACGGATTTCAGGTCATACAGACAGAAAGATTTGGATTCCTTTTTTAACACATTGCGTACCGAGTGCATCACATGGTGATGCATGAAATTCACACTGAAATTTCTGCTTTCTTTATGAAGCAATACTCGTCAAAATTTGCAAACATATGTTTTCGAACATGCTGAACACCATATCTGCTTGGGACTCCAACAGCTGAAAAAATTTGGAGCGTCCATACACCATANTATTAATCACGAATCTAACGCTACTAACAAGTTTTATTGTAGCATTTCTTCTGTACTCTTGTGAACTAACTATAATAATCGTTGTACTCGTATTCGAACTAATGCAACCGGTTTGGTAATTGAACTAGAGATCGTAAAGGGACAGTTACGAAATTGTGAACTCGTGAACAAAATAATATATAGGCAATTGTACTGGAATTCGAAAACATGGCTCATAATGAAAATGAAAACCCGTAAAAGAAAGTGATAGCGAATTAGCGACTACTATTCTTCGAGTTGGATCAAAAGAAATGAATGACTCGTAATTTTAGATAAGACAAAATCCCATAACCTTCAGCTGGAAAGTGATAACAG